GATCAAAACATTTCTGGATTAAAGTACATGTACTAACTTGACTACATTTGATTCACAAGCTAGTACCTACTTTGGAGGTATACATGTATAACCATTTGAGGCATATAACCATTGAGGCATATAACCATTTTAGTCATAATATCTTAAGTTAGCAATATACAACAGTATGTGGAGACAATTAATCTAAGACAACATTTAACCATACTGAAAAATCACATCTAGCTGAAAAAATATTCTCACAATAATTCACATTTCTCGGCTCCAAGCTTACAAAATAAAAATCCACAACACGGAGCAAATTATATATATAAATGTATAATAAATATTCAGCCCCGAAATAATAACATCACATGATATGGCAGTATAGTATAAAAACATTGACAAAGCTTTGCTAAACGCAAGTCTCTGTGGCAGCATAAGCAAAAACACGTGTCTCAGGAGTAAAACTAACACGTACGTTTCTCACACGACGCACAATTGTCCCAATATCGCTCATACAAACTGGTGTGGTTTTCGGGGAATTCGACCTGTCCGATTCTGGTTCATCGTCGTCAATCATGCGTCTCGGTGAACTTGAAGGAGAAGAGTTCCTAGACATCTTTGCCGATGAGCTCAGAAGTCTTCTTGGCGACATCGAAACTGAGCTGGACGTTCTCTCCATTTTCTCTACAGATCTGCGTGGTGACTTCAACAAGGATTCGCGGGTACTTATGATAGTGATCGACTCATTGGGGAGTCCGTCATCGACATACTCGATTATGTCTGACATAGGTGACGGTGTGGTTTTCTCTATATACTTACTGTTTGTCCGGGAGAAGCAAAACAGAAAGCAAACATTTAAATTTCAAGTTATCTTGATACTTTCTAAAATACACAAAACTGACAATTATCAAACATTAAAACACATATTGTTAAAATAATTATGTACATGTATATTCATATGTCAACCCCTAAAATTTCATGTTTGAAGAAGTTTATAAAATTGTTAATTATAACGCATATCAGACTTCTTCATCTTTCCAAATGTAATCGATTGCCGAGCATGAAATGAAAACAGTGGCTCAAGACCAATATTTAGTTTCGAGTGAATTTATTTCTTACCAAGACAACATAAAACACATTATGACTAATACAAACATTCTGTCATAGTTCATGGATATATTTTTTTGTTTCAATAATAGTGGAAATGTACATGTACATGAAAACAGATTGTCGATAGGTGCCTATATCTGTAAAATGTAACTAGTAACAACTTACCTGCTAAAATAAGACACGAGGAATTGGATACCATTATAATATCCTTATTATTCATTGTTTGCTTATCAACCAGTAAAATTCATATAAATGATTTCATAAGTTAATTTGATCATTTTCCCTATGTACAACAGTTCAGTACATACATTGTATTTACTGGTATTTTCGCTTAAGTATTATTGAAGTTTGAACTTTATCTAAACCATTTTCCAGCCAGCTGCCTGGATCAAAACAATATGGTTACAATGTAAGCAAACATGGTTGGAATCACAGTATCTTTTACTTATATAACATAAAAGTTACTCAAAATGAAAGTTTCTCTTCAATTTAAACATAATAAATAAACAAAATAGACAAAGTCTGATGTTCATAACATTTTATTTTACATTAAGGTTTTAGAACATTTATTAAATAGTGATAATACTAAGTTATTAATACTAAATGACAGTTATTTCATACCACCGAGAGATTAATCAAAGTCTTGATTAAATATAGTATATAGAGTATATAAACTTTAATAAAATTTGTACGCTTGGTTGATTATGCATAAAAATGAGTCAAGCAGACGTCTGGACAATAATGATTTGGCACATATTTTGATTCTTAATGCAAGTTTGAAACCAGAGTACCTACAAGTATATATGACAATCTGCAGTGCCACAGAAATGCCAGATTTTTTCAACAATTTACAGCAGTAACCTTAAAGAAATTCGAATCTGAAATGTAACTGACATTGACCAAATCTGAAATGTTACCGATTTCTGTAAATTGACTTAAAAGAAACAAATCTAATGGCTTAATTAATATAAATATACATGTATTCCAGTTTTTCTGATGTTTACATACATACAGCATAGCATAAATTCTATATGAAAGTATTTTAGAGATTAATATCAAAATCTTAGAATCTAACAAAAGAAAATTAATAATCTAATAAATAGTGTTGTCAAACCTGAGCCAATACATGTTCAAATATGATAATAAAAAACAAAACAAACAAGAGGGCCAAGATGACCCTAGATCACTCACCTGACCCATCAAACTCATTTCGAGCAATTACTTAGGCAATCATCCTGACCAAGTTTGATGACAATTGAGTCAAAAATGTGACCACTAGTGTTAACAAGGTTTTTCCATATTTGGGCAGTGTGACCTAGTTTTTGACCCCAGGTGACAAATATTTGAACTTGACCTAGAAATCATCAAAAAAAACTTCCTGACCAATTTCCAGGATATTTGGAAAACAACAGTTGCCACTAGAGAGTTTACAAGATTTTTCTATTTTTAACTACTTTGACCTAGTTTTTCACCAGGGATGACCCATGTTCGAACTCATCCCAGCAATTAAGTTAGACAAGCATCCTAGCTTAGTTTGATGACAATTGAGTCAAAAATATGACCACTAGAGTGTTAACAAGGTTTTTGGGCGATGTGATTTTTGACCCCAGGTGACCAATATTCAAAGATTACCTAGAAATCATCAAAACAAACTTTCAGACCAATTTCCAGGATATTTGGATGAAAACAGTAGCCACTAAAGAGTTCACAAGATTTTTCTATTTTTAGCTGCTGTAACCTAGTTTTTCATCCGAGACAACCCATGTTTGAACTCATCCAAGCAATTACCTAGACAAGTATCCTGACAATTTGATGTCAAATGATCGAGTCAAAAATGTGAGCACTTAACAAAGTTTTCTATATATGGGCAGTCTGACCTAGATTTTGACCTCAGGTGACCAATATTCGAACTTGACCTAGAAATCATCAAAACAAACTTTCAGATCAATTTTCAGGATATTTGGATCAAAACAGTAGCCACTAAGTGTTAACAAGATTTTTCTATTTTTAGCTCCTGTGACCTAGTTTTCATCTGAGATGACCCATGTTTAAACTCATCCCAGCCTTTACCTAGATAAGCATCCTAACACAGTTTGATGATGAGTTAGCCAAAAATGTGACCACTAGAGTGTAAATGAACAAATAAGGATGGATGACAGACAACAGACGATGGACATTCAAAAATCATAAAAGCTCAGATGAGGGACATTTGATGATAAAAGCTCACCCTGAGCTTAAAAAGACCTGTACCTGTGATCACAGGCACGAATATCGGACCTGGGATGAAAATATATGACCAGATTGATAATAAAACCTGTGTTCATCTTAAAAGTGTCAAAAACCAAAAAAAAAAATTGTAAAAAATGACCCCCTTTAAAATATACTATAAGTTAAGAGAAGGCCGGAAACTCCAGATTCGAGCCTACGAGCAAGGGATTCATTTCCCGAGCCGTTGTGAAAACAATTGGCCGGACAATTAAAAACGACTTATATCACTATTTCACGTTTGTATTAAGCTTCCAAATGAGACCGACCCCAAGTCTCTAGCCCTTCCCGTTCATGAAATATCTATCAGGAAACGAGCGAATTCGTGCTAAAAATCGTTGGTAGACAGAATGGGGGACATTAGTGAATAACCTCCCCTGAGTACTCCCTATAAATAGGTAGGTCCTAAGCAATTGGATTACTCGGACTTTATCGCCTATTTCTTTGTAGCAAACTGAATTAATTAGGGCTAATTATTATCATTTGTAATATTCAGATTAAATATTGCGATAAGATGTAGAATCTGTTGACATAAATGAAACATTTTTTCTTATTGTTTACATATTTGTTGATGCATGTGGAAATAATTTATTAAAACATATCAACCTGTCTTACATAAAACTCAACGATAAAAGCAAAGGATTCCAAATATTTGGACCTACTTACATTTTGGTTAACCTCGGTTTTTATCAAGGGAAGATAATCCACTATTGTCCCTCATTGCGGCACAACGATTCGGTACGTAAACATAGACTAATACATGTTTGTCAGCTGAGTACGGGTCAAAATCACTTGAATTTACTAAATAATATTACTAAATACATTAAGTTGGACCACTCACAACCGTCAGGAGCATCTGATACACACGAGATTCGAGTTTCAAACATTTACACGGTCTTTCAATCGCTTTCTACGCCATTATGCATCCTTGTGTGAAACGTTGCGGTTTCGTTGCTATTGGCCAATCAGAAGACTCGTTACAAAATATCGAACAGCTGATTGACAATGGCGTTGAAAGGAATCTAAATACCGTGGAAAGGTTTTAAATTCGAATTTTACGTGTATCAGATGCTACTGACGGGTGTGAGTGGTCCAACTTATTTAGTAATATTATTTAGAAAATTCAAGTGATTTTGACCCGTACTCATCTGACAAACATGTATTAGTCTATGTTTACGTACCGAATCGTTGTGCCGCAATTCTGTCTACCAACGATTTTTAGCACGAATTCGCTCGTTTCCTGATAGATATTTCATGAACGGGAAGGGCTAGAGACTTGGGGTCGGTCTCATTTGGAAGCTTAATACAAACGTGAAATAGTGATCAAAGTCTTTTTTAATTGTCTGGTCAATTGTTTTCACAACGGCTCGGGAAATGAATCCCTTGCTCGTAGGCTCGAATCTGGAGTTTCCGGCCTTCTCTTAACTTATAGTATATTTTAAAGGGGGTCATTTTTTACAATTTTTTTTTTTGGTTTTAGACACTTTTAAGATGAACACAGGTTTTATTATCAATCTGGTCATATATTTTCATCCCAGGTCCGATACTCGTGCCTGTGCCTGTGATTATAAAAAACAAAAAATAAAAACAAGGTTAATATAACGTTTTGTTGAGAAATGAAAACATAAGTTTAGTATTAAATGTTTTTGTTTTGTTTTTTATTGTGGTCTGCATTTGTTTGTGGTCTCAAGTTTAACTGTATCAAAAAAATATGTGTCAAAACTAAATGTGGATATATACAAAAGAAAATAAAAACAAACTCAGATTGTGCTACGGCACATGTCATTACATATGAAATTCTGAAAAAAGCAAACATCTATATAATTATGATATTATGCAAACATCAAAACAACAAAGGAATTTAAAAAAAAACATCAGTACATGTATAAACAAAAAAACAACAACAAATACTGTGAAATAATTTGATTCAAAACTTGTCTAGGTATTCAAAATTTTCTAAGCAAACAAGAATCTTAGTGACACAGACGGAAGATCCCCTAAATATAATTTTAACAAAGTACAGATATGACCTTGCCAAAAGAGAAAAAAAACATATCAAAAATCTATTTTTAGCCTCATTGACCTTGAACATGACCTATGTGACCTGAAACCCACATAAGGTTTGTATGTGGTCCGTGACAAATCCCAAACACATAAAAAATCTTTGACCTCAAAAGTATGAGGAATTTTTGTTAACTTTGTCAGTTTTTATGATCATATCTCTGTAGTTAATCCACGTAACAGTCTTCCTGGATAACTAACCAGTAATTGTCAATTTCTTCGCAAGTGACCAACTACTAATTCCACATGATTCTGAGCGGAAAATGACTATTAGACAGAAATTTCCGCTCACTCAAGGATTGAACCTGCTACCCTATGACAACTGGTTTGATTCTTGGGAAGGTCATGCATTACTGGGCTGGTGTCATAGCAGTTAAATGTAAGTTAGTGTCACAGAATGACAGAATGTTAAACAGGCACTGTGATATGCTGTAATAAAAAAACATTTCACAGAGCCATAAAAAAACAATAAAATCCTCTCTTCACAATACTACATACTATTCCATAATAAAAGAACTCTCTAATATAGAGAAAATTACAAAAAAAGAAGAAAAAAGACTTTTAATGTATCAAGGCAATGTAAAAAACTTAAAAAGTATAATTTTCCAAAAAAAATAACAATACAACAGAATGACAAAGAGTAAAATCATTTCACAGTGTTACTACAAAATTACAACAGTGATCAAAGGGTCTTGAGAACACATTTCATTTAGAACAGTTAGTGCTGGCAATCAGAATCATATCATATGTTTTTGATTGTTGTTTTTTTTCAAAATATTTTGAGGCCTTTAGACTTTAGCACTTACATTACATACTACATGTAAGTGGTAAAGTTAGCAACATGGAAATATTGATGAATTTCAGGAATTGACGAAAATCTCTAAAATTTCCACTTAATAAATACCAATCAACATGTTTTCTTAGCGTTCTTGAAAGTCATGACATTAAATACTGGTTGCCAAAAATTGTTTTAAAAACAACAGAAATGATTTAAATAAATTGATTACGACACTACACAAACATATTACAGTAACTACAGAGAAGATTATTAAATTTTGAAAAAATTTAAGACTTTATTTAAAACAAAGGTTATTTGAACAATATGTGTCATTCAAGTACTTTTGTATCACTCAAAAACAGATATTTCCTTACAAGCAAGACTAGCGGTTGTGCAAATGCACTAAATTTCTAAAACTAAATTCTAAATGTCTAGAAAATTTCTAAACAAAACTTGATTCTTCCCTCCAAGGAAACATTAAGAATTATATCATTTTGTTTTTATTGTGGAATTATAAAAAGAAAAACAATAATGTGTGTGACTCAAAATGCCATAGATTCAAATTACACAAACTGATTGTCAGAAAAAAATGTTGATCATGTAGCAAGTGTGAGAACGAATTCCATTCTTTCATTTATAAGTCATATTACAAATCTGAAAAGATTCATACCTCTAATATTGATAGTAATTGTGTATAAGAATTAATCTTCCCATTTCAAAACATCAACTAATACAACAGGAGAAAACTCTTCAATTAAAGAGCTTTTCTTTGCAAACAGCAAAATCCATCTTTTTTTTTTTTTGAAAGTCACGTAGTTTTACAGTTTTGACAGGAACCCAAGCTGAGGAACTTGTCTTTACATTCGAAAAAAAAAAATAAAGAAAAAAATTACTTTAATGATAATTCATATAAAACTATGACTGATTGATACAACAAAAAAATAATCTAATTATTTTCTTTAAACAAGAGCTGTCGGTAGGACAGCATGCTCGACTATTCTAAGTGCTTGATAGTATGACCCTCCAATTATGACCCTAAGTGCATGTGTAAAATTTCAAGTAAATATCTTTGAAGACCTTTAACCTTTAACCAAAATTTCTAAGTTTCAAAAGGCAAATAATTCTGCAAATATTGCAGGCAGAGTTATGCAATTTTGCAAACTGATTGTTACTATAAAAAAGTATTTTAAATTTCAATTGAATATCTCAAGCAATAATTGAGATATTTGACTTTACAAAAAAACTTTACCAAAATTTCTAAATTCCAAAGGGGCATAATTCTGCCAATATTGTAGGCAGAGTTATCCAACTTGTCAATCTGATGTACATTGTTACTATGAATAAGTATTGTAAGTTTCAATTGAATATCTCAAGCAATAATTGAGATATTTGACTTTACAAAAAACTTTAACCAAAATTTCTAAGTTAACAAGAGCTGTCACAGGAGACAGCGAAGCTCGACTAATAAAATACTGGACGCAGTAAGGAGGACAAAACTTTGAAAGAAAAATCAATTATGTATAATTATGTATCAAGTTATAGTAAAAAAATAACATTTGTTAATATAAACTCCAAGATCAAGGGGAATAATTCTAGAAATAGTCATGCTAGAGTTATGGACCTTTTCACACAACATTTGTGTAATGATAAGAAATATATATTTGAAGTTTTAAGTAGATACCTTAAAAAGTAAAGAAGTTATTATATTTCTTAAAGAAAATCCTAAGTTCAAAGAGAGATAAATGTGTAAATATTGCTTCAAGAGTAATGAACATTGTCACATAAAATGAAATTGATGATAAGGAATAAGTATTTGAAGTTTGAGGTAGATACCTTTAAAAATAAAAAAGTTATAATAAAAAATAACATTTTTCTAGTAAAAAAATCTAAGTTTATGGGGAGATAATTCTTGCAATATTGGTGCTAGAGTTATGAACCTTGTCACATAAGAAGTGGATGATGATAACGTAAATATTTTTGAAGTATGAAGTTGATCCCTTTAGAAATAAATAAGTGACAGTAAAAAATAATATTTTTTATGGAAAATTCTAAGTTCAAAGGGAGATAAATCTGAAAATATTGGTGCTAGAGTTATGAACCTTGTCACATAAGATGGGGATGATGATAACGTAAATATATTTGAAGTATGAGGTTGATCCCTTAAGAAATAAAGAAGAAACAGTAAGAAATAGTATATTTTTAAGGAAAATTCTAAGTTCAAGGGGAGATAAATCTGAAAATATTGGTGCTAGAGTTATGAACCTTGTCACATAAGATGGGGATGATGATAAGGTACATATGTTTGAAGTATGAGGTTGATCCCTTAAGAAATAAAGAAGTAACAGTAAAAATTAGTATTTTTTAAGGAAAATTCTAAGTTCAAGGGGAGATAAATCTGAAAATATTGGTGCTAGAGTTATGAACCTTGTCACATAAGATGTGGTTGATGATAAGAAACATATATTTGAAGTTTGAAGTTGATACCTTAAGAAATGACAAAGTTATAGTGAAAAATATTTTACTGCACCAAAACTTTAATCAAAAATCTGGACGCAGACGCGGACGCCGGGGCAAGTAGGACAGCTCTCCATATACTTCGTATAGTCGAGCTAAAAAGGGGCATAATTCTGTCAATATTGTAGGCAGAGTTATCCAACTTGTCAATCTGATGTTCCTTGTTACTATAAATAAGTATTGTAAGTTTCAATTGAATATCTCAAGTAATAATTGAGATATTTGACTTTACAAAAAAACTTTAACCAAAGCAGACGCTGACGCGGACGCCGAGGCGACTACAATAGCTCTCATATTCTTCAAATAGTCGAGCTAAAAAGAACTTGTAAACATATTTGCCATTTAAAGTAAATATCTAAGTGGTTGACAGTCTAGTGCCAACATTATGGTCTTAATTGCCCTAAGAGAGATCTTACATTTACATATCATCACTTACACTACATCATCTTGCAATGTCTTAAAATATTTGCGTTTCTTATGGGAAAAAGTTTAAGTTCAGAGCAGCTTACATGAAGATATAACATCATCTTAGACCTTTATCGTTTCAGATTGTAACAGAAAACCAATATATATCTTTTAATTGACCCTCACTTAATTTCCATGTAAGCTATAAAATTTCCATAAAGATAGAAATGTGATATATATAATAGCCATAAAAGTAATATTAATTCAGATAATATATAAGAATAAAGTAAGTATATTTCTTAAGGTTTAGGCAGACCTATCATCATGAGACTGAGAATTGATTATAGAATAAGGTATACGGCATAAATAGTTTTATGTCCCATTTACATGATATATAATGTATAGAGTCATTATGCATGGATATAGAAACGAGAAAATAGCAAGTTATACTATAATCAAAGTGCTGAAAGCACTGAAGGATGGTGATTTTGTACTCGGCAAGATTACTTATTAAAATCATGCATATTAATACTTTTAATTTTCACTTGAGGAACCGTTTCTCCTTAGAGAAAAAGACAGGTCTGCTTCAAGTCATTCACATTCTTGCTCAGACACTCCCATATCACGCTATGTTACTGTATTTATGAATGAATTGCTGCGGGCACTTTCTTTTTAGGCTAGGCAAAAGATTTGTGGGCATGAGAAAGAACTTTCAATAGGCTAGCTGGATAGCTTTCTCACATAAAAGAATTTGAAGATGCTTGCACTGCTCAAACCTAAAGTTTGCCACTTTTTTAACTTTAAAGAATATGATTTTACATTTCCTAAACATTGATTAATTATAAGACTGATTTTTATAATTAATACCGACAGTAATAAACCCAATATTCAAAATATAACATAGTTAATTAACATAAATAAAATATGAGAAGTACTACAAACCATCTACCGTAAATCATAAAAGACTTTAGAATACTGTAGTTGGTGGTCTCTTGCTTAGAAAGACAACTGAATTTTTATGAGACTTAAACATTTCCCTACTGGAAATTGAATGCTATTGGCCCGTGCCACCAGTATAGAGCCAGGCCACCTGCACATATGTGAAGTCTGACTCAGTTCTGTACTGGTGGCTGACAAACTTTAAATTTTCATTTTTGTAATCCCTAAAATTAATTACCAATAGTTAAAAAAAATGCTGGACATGTCCATTTAAGAAAATCAGGTACTTGTAGATCAATGATTGAAGTAAAAAGAGCATAACAAATTTGTTGAGATCTTCATGGCAATATACGTCAAAGCTTTCAATGCATCAGTTATCTTGAAAAATAGAAGGCTTTCTCAGAAATTAAGAAATTACTTAACAGCATCAAAATAAAAAAAAGAAAATTAAAATAAACAAGCAAAGTAAAAAACAATGAGAAAATAATCAATAGAAGTAGAATAAAGTAAGATCCTTTTTTGTACTCAAATGCAGAAATTTTTCAAATTTTCAATTCATAATCTGGTTTAATAGATAAATAGCACATTTACAACAGATAGATGTCGCATGACCACAAGCATTTGCATGCACCAATGAGAAAACAGTTTACAACGAACCAATCAGAAAACAGCTTACTTATCACATTTCATGCCATACAGTTCATGTTCTCGTATATAGTCTATAACAGAATCTTGTAACAAATACTTCACACTTTCATCTCTTCTTAAAGCACGCCTGAAAAAAGTATCACAATATATAACCTTTTTTTAATCTATTTTGGTTTTATATCGCATCAACACAGTATAGGTCATATGGCAAACTTTCCAGCTGTACTGGCAGAGGAAGACTTGGGTGTCTCTCTGTGTGTTATTTCAGGCACAAATGGGCACCTGAGTAGAACCACCAACGTTCATTAAGCTAGCAGGATAACTTTCTCACATGAAAGAATTTGAAGACTTGGACAATCCAGTGACCACAATTGCTTGAAAAAGATGTTCAAAATAGCTCTATTTATAGATTCTTCTCAATAAGGTGAATAACTTTGTGAATGTTCAGTAACAACTATGATAATAAAATGTTAAAGATCACGTGATTTAAGTAAAAAGTTCAAAATTATCTTTCATATGGTATAGGGGCATAACTCAGGCTGTATTAAAGTTTCAATGGTAACGACCCAGCAGTCATAATAACATGTTTTTATCTTCGTTACAGGCAAGCTAAAACTGCTGCAACAACCCCACCATAAGTTTTCAGACACATTAATACCATATTATTTATTAAAACAAGAGTTTTTTTCATGGTATAAAGCTATGAAATATATTTTATACAATTAAATTCATCCATTTTTACATTATATTGGTTCCATTATATTATGGTTGATTCTCAAAAGTTGTAACGTACAAGGTGAAAATTACACTTAAACAGAATAAAATATTCTGGAACAAAATATCATACTACTATTTTAAGTAGGGTTTCATCCATTTAGCAATGATTTCTTGGATGTCCCATTTGCTTTAATGATAATTTACTACTATATTTATTTCATACCAGCATTTTGAAAGTTTTTTTGTTTTTTTTTAATTCAAGCAATAATTTTCTGGCAGCATATATACAGCTTTGTGCACTGTAAAAGTTTTCATACCAAAATTTGTGAAAATATCATTTGCATTTATTGAAAAAATCATCTGCCCTACCTTATTTTTGTAGAACTGATTTCATTTTGTATCCATTCTGTTACTATAGTAATATTATCCTGCAATAAAAAAACATCATTTATTCTTTATTTAACTATAATTTCTCTTTTTTCTTTGACAGTTTATTATAAAACTGTATAACAATGCCCTCATTCAACTGTGACTGTCTTTAAAACACATCAGATTTATTAAGTATATAGTATATAAGTAAAAGGGCCAACTTCTCTATGATTGATATTGAATCATTACTATTTGAGCTGTGTCATGATAAAACCAACATAATGGGTTTGCGACCAGCATGGATCCAGACCAGCCTGCGCATCCGCTTGTAATAGAGTTGATAAGCGAACAGCATGGATCCTGATCAGACTGCGTGGATGCGCAGACTGGTCTGGATCCATGCTGGTCGCAAACCTACTATGTTGGTTTTGTCATGACACGGCTCATTTGTGTAGGTAGATAGATGATTGTGCTGTACAGCAACTCACTTCTGTGGTTGATGCCTAAAATTAGAACAGACTCTGATTCTGAAGAAAGAAAATAGTGTGTAAAAATACTCCTTCATACATATATCTACGCATGTATAATAACTTATTTCTGCAGGAATTTTTTTATCTGCTATTTCTGTGGCAGACAATGAGACGGCAGATTAGAAAAAGAATATAATCAAAACAAGTCATGCTCGGAGGTGAATGTATACCTGGTTCCGTGTCAAAACATCAGACTCGTATATAAACTTTCGTGGGTCTGATCCATTCCTTGTTATACACACTAGGCCGTATTTCTTCACAATTTCTTCAATCTGTAAATATATCAAAGCGCTTTATGTTCTAATACCAAGGCAAAACCATAGTTTTATACTTTTAAGTTACAGCCTCTTAAATTCTTCATGAAATTTCCAAATGCATAAAACTTAAAATTTTGCAGGGGCCGCAAAATTGTTTTTCCGTGTTGCTCAGGTTGTCCCACAGCCTGTAGGAGCAAGTGGAATTTTTCAATAACTAACTACTTAAATAGAGAATATCATATGGAAAAGTTAAGATATGATTCATACAAAAATGGACAAGTAAGTCAAAAAAAAAATTTGCTCGTCCCGGTTTGGGGAAGACATCTTGACTTATAAAATTCACATTGGTCTTTGGCACCAATTAAAAATAACAACACTTTTTTCTAGAAAATAACTAGCCTCTTATGTTGCGTGTAGACCCAAGACATGGCTCCACACACACATATTTCAGATATAAATCGAGCACCTAAACAATCATTAACATGCATATTTTCAACAAATTTACTTAAGGGAAATAAATTAACAAATCACAAACTCTCACAGGTTGTGATTAAACTGTTAAAAAACAAATTTTAGAAAACACATAATAAATAGAATTTTTTTTATGTATGGAAATGTTTTTCACTCTCAAATCAATACAGCAATTTTCTGTTTTGTTAAAACTGTTTTGGAAACATGAATCCTACAGACTACCCCAATATAAAGCCACAATGCATCAGCCAACGCAGCATCCTTCAATATTGCATTTTCACCGTATCTGTTACACAATGAATGAAATACTTAATTGCTTTTTTTTCAGAGTCAGTGAAATGGAATAACTTCCCACACTTATGAAAACATAAAATTTATAGCTTAATGGAAAATATTTTCATAATGATAACAGGGAAGGTGTTATAACAGTAGCTCTTCAGATTTCACCATATTTAAAGTGTATAAATTAAAAACTATATTTGTTTAAATAATCTAAATACAGTAAAATCATATTGTTTCCGTAATCTTATAGTCATTACTTGACAGATTTATTACAAAGAATGTCTATGTAATTTAATATACAGGAAGGAAATAGGTTTAAAGATGATTTCACACATGCCCCACTCACTTTCGGCGAGTGAAAAGGCAAGTTTTAAGCATTTAATCATTCTAGTTCCTTGTCCGGTATATACCGGAATACAGCATTAAGTGTGGTGCTCCAACACTTTCTTTTAGTTCCACTCTTGTTTTATTCAGAAAGTTTACGTGTACAATTATCATGTAATTTTGCTATGCAAACTTGGACAATATCTTAAATTGACTATTACCATAGTGATGTTTTATGCTCAGAGATAATACTTTTATAAGTATAATACTTTTATTAGTTACAATACCAATTCGACAGATTTTTCTATGTGTGAACAAAAACATATTAAAGGAACTCCACTGTGTCAAAAAAAACGTAAAAACATAAAATTTCAATTGGACATAAATAGAACTTAAACAGGAAGATTATGTAAAAGATAATTAAGAAATATTATGACTCAAAAATAAATTGAAGACTTGAGTAAAAAGGGATGCCCTTTTCCATTTTTGGTCATTTTTTACAATTTAAATAATTATTCTGGAAAAACCAAGTGAGCAAATAATTTAGAATTTGCAAAGTTATTGGTCTAGACTTACATCAAACAGAACTTTTATTTTGAAAAATTATTTCCAGTCTTGTTATGTCATAAAACCTCAGTGAAGTCCCTTTAAAGATGAGCAAAGAAATTTTTGATAAAATCAAACCTGGGAAAAATGTTCTAAAATTTTAGGAAAATTATAAAGATTCAAAATTCTAGTAATTATTTACATTTTATGTGCGATAAATGACCAATTTTTCAGTATTTATAACTATATTTCTACTGCATTACTAACGCAGTATGGGCTATTTTTGCATATTTTGACCTCTTTTATTGTAATTTACATGGGTTGTAAGTGCCATTGATAATGTGTAAATTGCATTCTTTTGATACCTTCACAATAACATAATATTAAATGCATTTTCAATTTTTCATGACAATTAGCATGAATCTGGAGGCATGCTGCTTCAAGGTGAAAAGTCAACCTTCACCACATCAACTTTCTAACCTCAAATCTGTTTTACTATCTGACAAATAAAGATCTTCCATTATTAAAACACCTACTGAATTTTATGAAGATTTCAATTGAATAGCTCAAAGATTAAACAGTAAGTGGGTGTTTGAAACGTTTTATTACCATTTGTAACAACCGAACATTTTGAAAATTAAATATCTTGATTTGATGCAAATGTCACATAAACAAGGAAATCATGATATACAAGATGATTGCTGATCAATTTTACAGAGAAGATAAAGCTTTCCATGTATATCAAAATAATAATTAATATACGTTGTAACAAGATTTCTCCAGGGAAACATGTTTTAGTTGATACGAAATTATTTCATTTTGATTGTGTTAGAAGCTATAAGCTTATTGAACACTCTTGAATCCATTCCGGGAACCAGCCAGTACTGGGCAATGAGTGTAAAGTTTCTTGCTCACACAAACAACTGCTTGCCCCTGACGGGGATTGAACCCACGCAACCAGCAATCCTTAGATTACTAGCAGGGCTCATCCGGGAGGGCGATTCAGGCGAAAACTTCGCCGTGTATATTTCCATTTCGCTCTCCCAACTGATCAAAGAGAAGTCAACCTCGCCGATAAAATCTTAATTCCCAAAGAGTAATTACTTGGCGATGTAAAGAACAGAGATTGTATCCGCCCATATGACGACTGCTAATTATCATTATCCAATCAGAGCGTCGCTTCATACTACCCTTCTACCTGTATGCAAAGCGATAGACCGCCTACTCTAAACAGTAAATAATGAGAGCATTGGTCCGAAACGGGTATAATTGTGTGACATTTTTGCGAGTTTATTATGGGATTTGGCAATAATAATAGATTGTTTTTTCCCGATCATCTAAGCACGTGCAAATCTTCCATAATTGATATACACGCGGTGTTTAACCAGAGTAAAGGCGATGTGCAATGGCTATCACAAAACTGTTAGTCAATTAAAAATAATAAATTTCATTAATGATCAGCGACCGGATTAAAAACTTAATCATAGTTTAGTCTAGTCTGATGTATTATCCACTCAGCCATGCTGCTATGTTTCAACATGACCATGGATGCCCATGAAGGATTTATAACATTAATGACTTGACCTTATATCTGAAATAATGGCAACATAATGAACTTTGAATCAGAAAGTCTTATACATATTTAACCTTCTTTCTTTATAAAACAACATTGCAGTTGTGAAAAACTGCAAACAAATATTAAACACAGGTGAATCGCTATAATGCCATCACTTTGCAGATACTGTGGAGGCAAAAAAAAGGAAGCAAATCTGGCACAAGAGTTTTAAAATCAGACCCTTATACACAAATTAAAATATTATGAGCCTAATTATATTAGTTATAATACATACATCCTCGTCTTTCCATAGACCAGGGACTGCGAAAGACTCTAGAAGGTCACCACCACATAACAACTTTAGTTGTACATTTTCATTCTCACTCTCATCCTTGTTGTTTGTATGGCCAGGGGAGTTCACTCTGTCTATATATTCTGAAATATATTAATGTTTCAGTGATTTTAACTACCAATTTGGTGCCAAAATTTTGCCCTATTTCTTATCTGAACACAATTTTGGCCATTCCTCATCTGAACAAGTATAAATCTTTCCGCAATTCCTGAACAATTCCACCCCACCCCCAGATTTTATCAAATATAAAGATGTTTTGGAGTGTTTTTAACTGAGGAAAGCAGAATGTGCAGGGTTCTGGTGTTCTGTTTTTTCTTTTTTCTTTTCATTGAATTGATTTGTAAAGATTATTCTTAAACTTGGCAAATTTAGATTCCTCTCCCCCTCCCCCCTCCTACAATGGTTTACAACAACAAATTTCCCCCCTGCCTGCATGGCACACCATCTTTCCCAAATATGTGAAAAAAAGTCACTGTGTTCATCATATACAGTGTGACTGCAATAAATTTTCAGACAAAATGGCAGAGCATAAATTGTAATGAAAACAAATCAGTAATTCACAAACTCTATAAATCAGCAAGGATTCTATAAATCATCAAGGATTCTATAAATCAGCAAGGATTCTATAAATCAGCAAGGATTTTGAAATGCTATTTTTAGAACATTACAATACAGTCACATGACATATCATGTATCATGTGAATTCATTTGTCTACCAGGTCTTCACAAAAAATATCAATAGTGCAAATAAATCATGAAAACAATAAGGAAATAATTAATAAGGAAGGTACAAGAAATTGCCAGGAAATAACATGAAATGGGTATAATGACAATGACAGATATTGAAATGGTATCAAATATCTTAAATATGACTTAAGCTCTAGAAAAAACTGAAAATCTAAAGCAGTTTTCTTTATTTATCACAAAAAAAGGTCAAACCTTCATTTCTTTTGTCTTTTTTTCTCTTTTTTGAAGGTGTAAATTTGACAGAAGTGTTAGTTTGGTTGTCCAGAATTTGTTTATGATGGGAAAGAACTTTAGCTGTTTCTGTCCAGGTTGGTTGCTCACACTCCCAGGTGTCCATTCTGTAATAAAGCAAAACATCCGTAGTTTAAAGAGCTATAACTCTGCTGCAAAAATTATTGTCTGAATTTTAAAAAACAATGCTTCCAAAATTCTTGTATGAAAAAAATATGGTGGTGTATTGCCTTTAAAAACAAGAGCGATCAGTAATCACATGTGTCGCCTCATGATGGCCAATTTCATGTTGGGACAAATTTTGTGACAGACGGACAGACAGACGGACAGTGCACAACTAGACTTTGTACTGATCATTCCTGTAAAGTTTGGATAAAATTGCACCAGTAGTTTATGAGGAGTAGTTCGGACAAGCTTTTGCGTATCTGGCAACACACAGAAAAAAACTCCTTTTTATCAAAGGGCCATAACTCGGCAAAAAATCATTCAACCGGAAAACCCGTGCAATATGCGCAAGGACTTGAGCTACAGATCAATCCTGTAAAGTTTCATTGAAATTGCATAAGTGGTATAAGAGAAGTAGTCTGGACAAACTTTAAAAATAAAAATTATTAAAGGGCCATAACTCAAACAAAAATCATTGAACTGGAAAATGCTGACAATATGCACAACTAGACTTGGTACTGATCATTCCTGTAAAGTTTGGATGAAATTGCACCAGTAGTTTATGAGGAGTAGTCTGGACAAGCTTTTGTGTATCTGGCAACACACAGAAAAAGAAACCTTTTTATCAAAGGGCCATAACTCGGCCAAAAATCATTCAACCGGAAAACCCGTGCAATATGCGCAAGGACTTGAGCTACAGATCATTCCTGTAAAGTTTCATTGAAATTGCATGAGTGGTATAAGAGAAGTAGTCCGGACAAACTTTAAAATTAAAAATTATTAAAGGGCCATAACTCTGACAAAAATCATTGAACCGGAAAATCCTGACAATATGCACAACTAGACTTGGTACTGATCATTCCTGTAAAGTTTGGATGAAATTGCACCAGTAATTTATGAGGAGTAGTCCGGACAAGTTTTGTGACGGACGGACGGACGGACAGACGGACGGACAGACAGACAGACAGACGGACAGACAGACGACGGAGAAGTGATCCCTATATGTCGCCACTACTCCGTAGAGGCGACACAAAAATGGAGCATGCATGAAATCCATTTTGAGTAAGAGACTACATTTGAAGGAGGGGGATCTCTATGAAATTGCCTGCAAAAGAGACAGAACTCCAAAAAAGGATAAATAAATAACTCTGGTACTATACTCTCAATTACTATAGCCAGACTGCAAGTTTTCTGCTTTACTAATACTGCAGTGATTTTCAACAATGATAGAAATAAAATCAAAATCTCTGTCCAATAATTGGCATCGTCTTTATCAGAATACAGGATTCAGATATAGAATTCAGATACCACATACAGATATCTCTCGTACATTAAGCAGTGGTCATCTTTACTGACGGCTTCATCTCGCAATAAATCTATTCTCATAATTAGCTTCAACATTATATCAGCACACCATTAGGCAAATTGCTTGCTGTGAAATTCAAGCTCCATTAACTGCGGCCTCGGCTAGAGCCAGCATTAATTTCCAGGAATTTTTTTTTCTTGCTAATGAAAACTTCCCGTTGTAGCTGTTTATTAATCACATCTGATTAATGAACCATTCTGGAATAGCGATGTATTTTGTTATTATTTAGATTGCAAGTATTTCTAGCAAAATGACCTTTTAGAAAATAGGTGTTGTAATGCAAATAGGTGGCTGTTTCAAATACAATATCGGGAGCAGACGTACCATATTTAGCATTTCTAATGGAAACATTTTATGGCCTAGCGTATGTTTGCATAATTCATTTCAGCTGAAGAAACTGATGGTCTTTTATACATGGATATATACTCATTATGAAGATTTTATTTACGTCTTTCATTCTATGTTTTATGTGTCTATTTTAGCAATACAATTACCTTTAGTAAAATATCACACCTCTGATAATGGAGGATATATATTTTTTTTGTTTCCATTATTGTATAACTGTGCATAATTATGAAAATGTTAAATGTAATGAAAGTTCTAATCAAATCAGTTTTTAAAATTTGCCTGTGTTAGATATTACCGTAAGTTGCTCCTATAGTAATATTGATACTGTTTTGGGCCAGATAACCCAATGAGCATTATTTTTGGCAGAATCAAACATCCAGTTGGCGTGCTATCTACAGAAATGATATCTCAAAACCAGACATCAAAACAAAGCTTAACTTGGAAGTTTCTGTTGAGATTCAAACCAACTGTAATGAGAAGCCCGTGATTCAAAATTGGTCAGATTAACCAGTCTCTAAAACTGCTTACCAAAAGATAAAAACAAAAGATATCTTTAATGGAAATCTTCAATATTCTCCTCATGAAAGATTATCAGACTTAACAATCCTCACAGATGAAAGATTATCAGACTTAACAATCCTCACAGATGAAAGATTAACAGACTTAACAATCCTCACAGATGAAAGATTATCAGACTTAACAATCCTCACAGATGAAAGATTAACAGACTTAACAATCCTCACAGATGAAAGATTATCAGACTTAACAATCCTCACAGATGAAAGATTATCAGACTTAACAATCCTCACAGATGAAAGATTATCAGACTTAACAATCCTCACAGATGAAAGATTAACAGACTTAACAATCCTCACAGATGAAAGATTATCAGACTTAACAATCCTCACAGATAAAAGATTAATAGACTTAACAATCCTCACAGATGAAAGATTATCAGACTTAACAATCCTCACAGATGAAAGATTATCAGACTTAACAATCCTCACAGATGAAAGATTAACAGACTTAACAATCCTCTCAGAGTTTTTTTTTTGACTGAGCTTTATTACAACCCCCACCTACATTATTATCATACCTTATCCACTTGGATGACTTTATAGCTTGTTTAACCATGGCACATCTGTGTTTGGCTGGTGCCAAATCCTGAAAAATAAAATTTAAAATCACAATAAGTTGGTGCCAAATATCTAAGAAAAAAACCCAATAAATTTAAAATCACAATAGTGGCTATAAGGCTGGGAAGGACAGGGAAGTGGCGACAATATGCTCCACCATTTTTTTTTCATCATATTGTCACATGCAGATCTTTGATCACAGATATTCCTTACATTTTACAATAAAAACATTCTGTTATAACAATCTATTCATTTGAAGCTCCTCTTCCTTGGCATTTATTGCAGAAAAATAATACAATAACATTTCTGGCAATTATAAAGGAATTCTAATTCTGGATTAAGTACATTGTGTACTAGACACTTAAGACGTTGACCTCAAGTAAGTAGAAAATTCTGATTCAGGGGTGATAACTCAAAAACAAGAACTGTGACCCAAATTATTTTTCCGCTTAAAATGTTTCTGTTAACATGCCAAGTTTAAAGAAATTCTATAGAACAGTTTTAATTTTGCCTATATGTCTATATGAAAACTCCCAAAACATCCTTAAATAGAGTAAGAATGGTAGTTTTTATGTGACAACCGTCTTGCTATCTTACAGTGACAACTGTCTTGCTATCTTACAGTGACAACTGTCTTGCTATCTTACAGTGACAACTGTCTTGCTATCTTACAGTGACAACTGTCTTGCTATCTTACAGTGACAACTGTCTTGCTATCTTACAGTGACAACTGTCTTGCTATCTTACAGTGACAACCAACTTGCTATCTTACAGTGACAATTATCTTGCTTTCGTACAATGACAACTCTCTTGCTATCTTACAGTGACAACTGTCTTGCTATCTTACAGTGACAACTGTCTTGCTATCGTTACAGTGACAACTGTCTTGCTACTGTATAAGTGTTTTTTCTGCGGGCTCCAAATTCTGCGGTTTTCCAAATTTTGGCATGTTTTTATTTCTGCGGACTTTATTTCTGCGGCACATTCTTTGGACAAAACGTGATTTAATATCTGCGACTTTCCTTATCTAAGTAACATTTCTCTAGTTTATTTTCATGTTCACATTCGCATTTGTTTATCGTCGTCACCAAAAAACTGTACAGTAATTACAAACAATTATATTGTTTGCTTGCAAACAAATATAATGTGCAACAAAAGAAAGGTATGCATCTTTTGATCAGCGTGAAATGACGTGTGAAAAATATACCCCGGTAGTATCTTTAATTTAATACCGTAAATCAGATGACAATTAAAGTATTCGACGATTATTTAGCAGTATAAGGGTTGAAATGGTTTGAATGATTTAGTGATAAACAAACCTTTAGCGTATCGGCAAACACTATAAATTACATGCTGTTTAAATATTTTTATTCTTAAGTTAAAATAATTAACAATAAGTACATCCTTACAAACAAACACAGAATACATACTTAGCAGACAACAGTTTTATTCAACTTGAAAACCCGCTAACCGTTATAATCCGTTAGTCGTAATTACTTTTAAAGTTTAGATGAAACAGGTCATAATGCAGTGCACAAATAGTACCAGGTTAAAAAACAAAAACATGGAAAAATATTCTGCGGTTTTTATTTCTGCGGTGCTGAAACTGACCGCAGAAAACGCAGAAATAAAGTCACCGCAGAAAAAACCACTTATACGGTATCTTACAGTGACAACTGACTTGCTATCTTACAGTGACAACTGTCTTGCTATCTTACAGTGACAACCGTTTTGCTATCTTACAGTGACAACTGTCTTGCTATCTTACAGTGACAACTGTCGTGCTATTTTACAGTGACAACTGTCTTGCTATCTTACAGTGACAACTGACTTGCTATCTTACAGTGACAACTGTCTTGCTATCTTACAGTGACAACTGTCTTGCTATCTTACAGTGACAACTGTCTTGCTATCTTACAGTGACAACTGTCTTGCTATCTTACAGTGACAACTGTCTTGCTATCTTACAGTGACAACTGTCTTGCTATCTTACAGTGACAACTGTCTTGCTATCTTACAGTGACAACTGTCTTGCTATCTTACAGTGACAACCAACTTGCTATCTTACAGTGACAACCAACTTGCTATCTTACAGTGACAACCAACTTGCTATCTTACAGTGACAACTCTCTTGCTATCTTACAGTGACAACTGTCGTGCTATTTTACAGTGACAACTGTCTTGCTATCTTACAGTGACAACTGTTTGCTATCTTACAGTGACAACTGTCTTGCTATCCTTACAGGTGACAACTGTCTTGCTATCGTTACAGTGACAACTGTCTTGCTATCTTACAGTGACAACAGTTTGCTATCTTACAGTGACAACACTCTTGCTATCTTACAGTGACAACTGTCTTGCTATCTTACAGTAACAACCATATTGCTATCTTACAGTGACAACTATCTTGCTATCTTACAGTGACAACTGTCTTGCTATCTTACAGTCATAACTTGATTATTATGACAATCATTGAATAAGCATTATTCTGTATTTATCTCGGCAATGGCAGGTTTTGGTGTGACAGTTCTCCTGTATCTTCCTTTATTTACTTCAAACAAACTAACCGGAGGATAAATAATCTTGACAATATTGATCCATAACTTTCTCTGTGTTTATCAATTAACTGCTAATCTATCCCGATTGCTTGCATGTCTATAAATGTATCCCAGATTTAATATTGGGTCCCATCAGCAGATGAACAATTTCCATATACATAGCAATCTGTCATCTGCCGTGGCGCATGTTTATATTGTCAATGCAGGTTATATAAAAGACAATATAATGCTAGTCAGACAGGAATATAATAAATCTACCCTCAAAGAACAAATTGCAGGAAAGAAACTAACAATACCTTAGCATTTGAATAGGCAGTGTGGGGACAGAAAAAAGTTGGTGGTGGTGTTGGTAGTTTTCACTCTGGATCACGGCTAAGTAAGCTTCATTGAATTTACCAGAGCATAGTTGAATAAGTTCAGCCATCATTCCTTGGCAGGCTGTCAAGCAATTTACCAGTACTAGTCGCCTTTACTTTTGGAATGAACTGAAACTTCTGTACATACCAGAGCAGAGGTACAATGTGAATGACCTTAGAATCGTAGATCAATCGCAACAATAAAAGGTTAATACTTAGCCCTTTTATAACTCTTTCCCCAAGTTCTAACAGCATGGTGGTAGGGAGGTGGGGAGATGGGGGCGAGAGAAATGAAGGGGGCAACAGTTAACAGCGCAGCTACAATAAGAGCTCGACTTTTTTTACTAAACAGACAAGCTAAAATTGAATGTATATGATGATGCAACAATTGTTACTGAAACAAAGCTATCTAAAACTAAGCTGTAACCATTTTTGACTTCATTAGATAAAACAGAAGTTCAGTGATCAAAACAAAGGCTCGAGCTAACTGTCAAGAAGAAAAGAGACAAAAAAGATTTCAGATAATTATTCCAGTTTAACTACTGTAACTAATTGGCAGAACTTGTTTTTATTGATGGCGAACATAATAAAACTATTCATATTTGAGATATGAACTGAATTATGTAAAAGGTTTTCCTTTACGGTCTTATCTTAATGCCTAACCTAACAGATAATAAAAACTAAAGTCAATACATTTGTGTTGTAAAAAATGTTACAAAAAGGAAAAACTTCACTCGTGAAACATTAGAATGCAATCTTTAAAATTCTAATCCCACATTTGAGTAGCGTTTATTACAAACACGACGAAGGGTAAAGTTAAAATGTGGCTCAGAAATATATAGATTATTACAGACTCAACAATAACATAAGAGCTGCGTCACGACAAACCTTCATAGTGTGTTTGCGACCAGCATGGATCCAGACCAGCCTGTGCATCCGCGCAGTCTGATCAGGATCCATTCTATTCGCTTACCAACTCTATTACAAGTAGAGAAACTGATAGCCAACAGCATGGATCCTGATCAGACTGCGCAGATGCGCAGGCTGGTCTGGATCCATGCTGGTCGCAAACCCACTATGTTGGTTTTGTCGTGACGCAGCTCATTTCTAAAACAGAGATGAGTAAAATGGTACTTCCACGACCTGGCATTATGGTAACTATATATCTGTTAAATGTTGCAGTTTGGATCATTAAAATCCGTCCCAAGGGAACACAACATCCCGGCATATTACATCATATTTATAATTTCAGATGCTTTACCTCAATAAAACAATTTTTCCTGAAAAATTAATGTTATTTTATCCGTAACTATTTTCTTACAGTAGTGTATGAATTTACGCCGCAACATAACCAAAGAATGATGTCATCCTAGGCATGCAGTTTCATTTTTAAATACGCCAAAATTATGTCATTTTAACAAAGTCCATTCATAAAATATGCTTAAATGAGGCCATTGTATAGCATATTGTCATGCCAGATGAAATTTCCGGCATGGGTAAAATTAACCGAAACATCAGTCTGATAAGCAAGAATACAGATATCCTCTCAGCATTATGATCATACTATTAATACAGTTGTTACTATATATAGTAACACAATTGCCTATGATTTCAACTTATTATGAGTGTCACGTGACCGATTATCAGTTTGCGGCCCGGAGCCAATAACTGATAATCATAATCGGCCCGCTGAACATGAGTACATGCACAAAAGCGCTTTATTTTTACAAACACAGCTTTATTGAAATTTAAAGAAAGAAAAAATACTAGCTACAATTTTATTCCGTGAAAATAAATTGTGTTTCTAGATTTTGTTGAATACACATAAGGGAAACAACACTGTAGAAGTTACTGTACAGTATAGTTCAGATGAAATCTACACAGATGGGAATTTCAACGAAAGAAATATCAGAGTAAATTTCGATCGATCAAGTGTATTTAAGACATTAATACATATCAAAAATGGGCCAAAATGTGATAATCGGCCCTGAAATGAATAATGCCCTCGGGACTATTATTCATTTTGCGGGCTAATTATCACTTTCCAGCCCAACTGTACTCTGCTGTGTATTAATTATTTAATATCATATAATTAGCCACATAGTGTGAAGCCA